TCATATTTGTTCAGTTCGTTCCGTCTTCAATTATCTTAGTTTTTGTTGCATGTCTGTATATCTAACACATACTATCTCTTTAAGTTTAGTTCTGAATATCGTTGTATGTTCATTTAGTTCGTTTAGCATCTTCCTTCTTTTTACTTCGATTGCATGTCTCTATATCTATCATCTAGTATATCCTTAAGTTTAGTTCACGCTATCGTTGTATGTTCATTTAGTTCGTTTAGCATTTTCCCTCTTTTTTATTCCCATCGCATGTCTCAATATCCATCATCTAGTATATTTTTAAGTTTAGTTCACGTTAACGTTAATGTTCATTTGGTTCGTTTAGCATCTTCCTTCTTTTTAATTTCCATTGCATGTCGATATATCTATCGCCTAGTATCTCTTTAAGTTTAGTTCACGTCATCGTTTGATGTTTATGTAGTTTATTTAGCTGGTTCCGTTATTTTAGTTCTCGCTGCGTATCTATACATATATTATATATACATCGTTAAGTTTAGTTTTGCATATCATTCCATGTTCCATCAATTTCTTTATGTATTTCCGTTTTTTTTTAAATTCAGTTGCGTGTCTTCAAGTCTATTAAGTAATCTATCTTCCACCGTATTTCAGAATTGTAAGCTTCTTTTGTTTTATGCTTATCTGCAACGTTTGTCGCTTTTTGATTATGTGTAACGTTTTAACTCCGCTAAATTTGTTTCGTTAAATGTTTGTGTTTGTGTTTCTGTATAATAATTGTATTTTTCTGTCAACGCGCTTGTTGTGTGATTTCATCTGTTTCATATGTATTTCTCTTCCGCTTTCTTTGTCGCTTTATTGTTCCGCATTGTAATAAGTTTCATCCTGTACTCTCCTTTACATTTTTTTATTCTATTTTCTCTTTGATCGTGTTCATCTGGATACAGTCTATTGCAAATTATATTTTTTACATATTCTTTGTGAGTCGTTTTTCAGTTTCCAATCTTTTTCTATTGTGTCCGACTTGTTATCTGTAGATGTATCGAAGTTTTAATCTTTTTCGATGTTTTATTATTGCTTGACTAGTATCCATTCTCTATTTCACGTTTTCAAGTTCCTTCAATCCCTTTGGTTCTTACTATTAATTTATTTTGATTTTTTCACATTCAATATACTGAAGGCGTAAAGGCGAAACAAATCAATAGCAAGGACCAAAGGAATTACAGGAATTTGAAAACGTGGAGAGACGAAAGGATACTAGTCATGCAATAACAAAATATCGAAAAAGATTAAAACTTCGATAGATCTACAGATAAAAAGTCTGGCAGATAGAAAAAGATTGGAAATCGAAAGATCGGCTCCGAAAGAAGATGTAGAAAATAAAATTTACAATAGACTGTATCCAGATGAACACGATAAAAGAGACAATAGGATGATTATCACGGTCCACATTTCTGGGTTAGGAACGGTTTCAAAATACAGATGATAATATGTTTGAAAATTTGTAGCACGTAAATCTTGAAAACCAGAGTGCATGCTTAAAGTAAGCGTTTTCACGTTTCATTTTACTACATGCGTTGCGGTCTCAATCGCGGTTCCTGACTATGAGGTAAAAGCGTTTTCGAAAAATGTAGGAATACACGTTTACAATTATACAGCATGTAAACTTGTGAAATTTCCCAATATGTTTAAAATAACCGTTTTCATGGTTTAATTTATTGAACGCGATTCGATGATAATCGCGGTTCCCGATTAGAGATCAGACACGGTTAGTAAAAATTGGCAACTAAACGTCCACATTTCCGGTGCGGAACTGGATGCGAAATTTTGTGGCAAGTACTTATGAGAAATACCAGCTGCTGCAAAAATTTTTCTGTTTAAATGCTCTGTTTTTTTTGCCCGTTTTTTGGTAGCAGTCGAGAACGGCAATTAGGACCGTAAAACGCGCAAACGTTTTATAGGGTTTACACGCGTTTTTCAACTGGTCTATCTGCTTGGGTATGTTATCTTTTCCGGATGAATACAGATATTTTTCAGAATATATATTTCTTGTAACCACTTTATTTGGTGATGATGTAATAACTTCACACCTTACGAATAGCTCTTCCGATTCTAATATTTCTAATTCATCAACAACTAATGTAACATTTTTAATTCTGAGAAAATCAGACATCTCTTATTGCATGAAAAAGACAAATATCAAATATTAAAAAATGATTAGTGAACATTGAATGACCACTTCGATTGAATCGTTTGATAAGCACTTCCAGTACTCAGCTTAATCTAGAAACTCTATACGATGCCTGCTCTGCCATCAGGGCAGGGCAGACTAAGGAAATTCAAATCTCTCGTTTGCAGGACACGGCTAATCAAGGTACAGGGCTGGGCAGAGCTCGAAAAAATCACACTGTGACTGTCTCTAATTCGAATCAAAACTTCAACTTGCAATTTTCAAGTTCGACACTGATGTACTGAATATGAATTGAATACATAGGTTTAGTCATTTTATGAGCGCTTTGGGTAGCTCAGTTTAGTTGACAAATTCCACAGGGCAAGAACTTTCTAATAAACAGGGCACAGGGCAGAGCAGGACGCCAAAAACACGCTCTGTGTTGGTCTTTGGTCGGAACTTCAAGATTGAAAAGAATTTTGACAGATTATCAAGAAAAACAAGAATCTGGAAAAGCACGATGTCGAGATCGTCGACTAGTGTACTACCCAAGATATAATTATCCATACTCAAGATCAACAAAAGCGATCATAAAAGACCATATATTAAATTAAAGATCTTAAATATCTGTACCCAAGATATAGTTACAGATCTTGGTACAAGATAACAATAATATCTTGTACCAAAATTTGCAAGATCTGTTCACTTTTCTATATCTTGAATCTTAGTCAAAATCTTGCTTAAAAGATGTTCGGCTAGAGTATGATCTTGTTACTGAAATAATTTAGCATCAAAATCAATTTATAAAAGTCTTTCTATACGAATACAATATTAATACGTACTTTGAGTACTATTCAACAATACAAGTAGATTTTTTAGTTTAGTTATTTCTTTAATAACATGTAATCTTAGATAAATTGAAAATTTTAGTTATGATAATCTAATCAAATCATTCTATATGACCATCTTTTCATAAGAACAGTTATATGATATACGTATAGAAACTCTATTGCACAAGATATGTTTTTAAATTTTGAATGAAGTGTTAAAATACTAAGGTTTTGTAAAAGATAATACTATTACTGATCTTCGAGGTCTTATTGCATGCATGAGAATTTATATAATAATGTTAAGAAAAAATTTCAATTTCGAATAATTAATTAATTAATTATATTGCAACTATAGAAAGCAAACACCATCTTAATTCACTCACTATCATTAATTTTTATTATATAAGATACCTTATTTCATGTAACCTACATAATTATTAGAGAAAAGCGAATAAAAGGATGCATACAACTGCAAAAACAGTATTTTTTTTTCTGTAATATACGACATAATCTAGAGAATGACTGTTTGAAAATGTTATTGGAAGTAGATCACAGCATGTTTTATTCATTCCTATCACAAAAGGATATGTAACCAGGAACAAGTATATATAAATTATCTTTTATTATTCATCATGCATGACTTCAAAAAAATAAGATATAATCACGCGTCTACATGCTGTTTCATTAGTAAAAATGAGGATAGAATCATTAAAATATTAATTTATAGATGACATTTTGTTTTATTTTATATTGCAAAGCAATGTCATCTTTATTTTCAACTGAAATTATTTTAAATATTAGTTTGAAATATAATATTTACGTTAGTCTTCTTATTGCAATTATTGGATTGATTGGTAATTCTTTGAATATTATTGTTTTTACTAATTTAAAATTATTTCGAAAAAATCAATGTATATTTTATTTAATTATTGAAGCTATTGCCAACATTGGTCAATTAATTATACTTCTTAGTCTAAGAATTTTATTAGTACTATATGGTTCTGATTTATCACAATATTCATTTATATGGTGTAAATTTCGATCAATGGTAATACAAATATTTTTACTTCCGTCAATTTTAACTGTATGTTGTATGACATTTGATCAATTTCTTTCAACAAGTTATCTATTTTATCTAAGACAAATAAGTACACTTAAATTAGCTCGACATTTAATATTTGGTAGTATATGTTTTTCACTTTTTCATTCAATTTTATTGGGTCTTCTTTTTGATTATAAACCATTGATTACTTGTGCAATTTTTAATCCAGCATTAAATCGTTATATTTCATATTTTTTTTATCCAGTTTTATGTGGTTTTCTACCAATTTCAATCACTATTTCATGTAGTTTATTAGCTTATCGTAATGTCCGTCGAATTACTCGGAGACAATTAAATGTTGTTCGTCGACGTTTAGATCGACAATTAACAGCAATGGTTTTGATACGTGTTTGGTTTTTTATTCTTTTCAAAACAACTTTTGTCGTGTATCGTATTTATGCAATTAATACTATCATTGATCCAACAGATTCTATGAGATTAGCTATAGAAAGATTGATTTTAACAATTATCAGTTCATTACTCAATCTCGATTATGCAGTAAAATTTAATTTCTTGTATTACTAAAACTATTAATAAAGCAAACAAATCCTTTTTCTAGATCAATTTTAGTATTTTTTTTGCTTCATCATCACAATATCGTCGACAAGTAAAATATGTTTTGATAAAAAAAGTTTGGCAACGATGTAAACGATGGTTTCGATCTGAACAAAATCAAATTGATCCTGCAATAGAACTACGACCTACACACAGTATTGAATTCGACTGAACAATAAAAATGCTTTTAATATAAAATAAAGACATTTTCTATTATACACAATATGTGTTAATATTCTCTTTCTCGTAGAGAAGAGTCTAGCAAGAATAAATTGTTTGCTTGCTTGCTTGCTTGTATGTCCGCGCTTCACTGATTGGTCCAAGAATAAGGTGATAATAAAAGGGATTATCTTCCATAAAAGTTGACCAAAAGATACTCGAGGATGGGGAGTTCAAATCTGATATTAGTTTTAATTAATTATTAACCAATTATTAACTATATATTATTTATTAATATTTTTCTGTAAAACTTGACCAAAAGGAATTCAGAATAGAGAATTCGGATCTGAGGTTAGTTTTAATTAATTAATTACTAATTAATTATCAACTGTTTAATTATTAATATTTTTCTATAAAAGTTGACCAAAGGTAATCAGGAGTGGCGAGTACGCATCTGAAGTTAGGTTTTATTAATTAATTATTAATTAATCAAAATAAATAGTGTGCTGGTAGTTCCAAAACACCATTTCTACGAGAAAGAGCTGATCGAGTCCTCGGACGAGCGTTACTTGTTTTTTTTTCTCTAATAATAGGATTCATAACTGTCACTCTTCTGAATCAAGTTACAAATCCGAGATGTCCATAGCGGTAGCTTTTTTAGGAAAACATTTCAAAAATTCATGAATTTGCACAGAATCTTTACATTGCTGTATGCTATACAGCAAGATTTAACAAATTGAATCGATTAGGAGCAGCAATTCTAGTGAAAACCAGTCACCGCCTTGAAAATCAAAACATTTTTTGAATATCATCGCGGCGGCAGCGGCAGATTCTCAGCTGCGATGGACATCTCTGTTACAAATCTTTTTTTTATAACTGAATAAAACTAATCGTTGACAGTTTTCAATGCTATAAGAATGATATGTAATTAGAAAGCAGAAACTGCAGCATAAAGTAAATCTGGACATTAACCCATGTAATAACAAAAGTTACAAGAAAAGATTAAAAATCGGATGAAAAATCGATTATAATGGCACTATTATAATCTGATTTTTCAGCCTTAAAAGACAGATTTCATTTGATTTTATCCTTTATTTTTACATGGGTACCCATTGTGACGAAATGTATCACCATCTTTACCTCTTTCTCTCGATTCACCTTGTGATTCTTCACTTCTTGTGTGACCGCTACGCCCGACTGCCGCTCATTGTCTATCTCTTCTATATCAGTGTGTGGTCTGTGTGTGTGAAAGGGATGATTTGTTGTATGAAGAAGGCAAAAAAAGCCAGTATCACTACCTCACCGGTACTTCTATCATCAAGTTCATCACATCTGGCAACCCTGGCTGACAATCCTCGCAACTTTCTGATCTTGTAAGAATTCTTTATATACACCTGTTTCCGCCGTTAACCGAATTGAACTGTTGTATTAACATGCAAATCAACTTTCGTCTCGTCGAATGCCATTTTAAAACGAATTATTGAGTTTGAAACGAAGGAGCGCTCCCTTTTCGTCCTCGTTTTTTTTTGCGGACATCGGTCATAGATGCGGTGTGGGTGTGGGTGTTGGATTTTTCCTTTCTACCCTCACACCCACCCTCACCACCCACCCACATCCGTACCCACACTTACACTCACACCCACCCCACACCCTTTTTTACCAATCGGTAGAAAATTTTCTCCTCTTTCGAAGTATATAATCCATATTAAAGTGGAAGTGTCGGTGTTAGGGTCCTGCGAGAACAACTCTTTTTTAGTTCGCTTTCTCGTAATTGGTTTAGAATCTCTAGTGATATTTCATTTTTTTTACATTTCAAAAAACACTCATTGTCTGATATTAGTTTCTTAGAACATACTTTTTTTTTGAGAGCGTGACATAGATCATAGTACGCTATGTCAATACTTTCAATGCACAATGTTTTGATTCATATTCTGAGGGTATGGATGTGTGCTAATACCATTAGATAAGTTACACAATGCATGATAAAACAAATATAGATTGAATTCACAACATACGTTAAGATATGACAAAAGTAAGAAAAACTCTGAATATTCCTATATGTTAAAACAATAATCAATAGTTCAACGAGTATCGTGTAGTTTAGCAATTAATATTTGAAAAAATACCTTTTTTTCAAACAGTAGATACTCAACAATAAGTCGTCAGGTACATTTGTATAGAAGTAAAATAAATAAACTATTATTTAGATGTTGAAATTTTATTAATCTCAAGAAAA